TTGCGACCATCTTGTGATTATTTTAACAAAAGCAACAATAATATAATAATTGTAATAATAATAACAATTATATATATATATATATAGGCCAGTGGCCCTTGGCTTGGTATTGTTGGCAGAATTCGGCCCTCGGTGAAAACTAATTGAGGAACCCTGCTTTAACATAATTATTAAAATATTTTTAATATAGATCTTTTAAAAATAGTTAAAAATAAACAAATATATATTATATTATATTATTAATATAATATAAATGTTTTTAATAATACATATTTTTATGTATTTTATTATTCATATTTTTTTTCTTTAATTAAAAAAAATAAAGTATACTTTTATTTAATGTATATATTATAAAAATATAATATAGTGGTGATGAGATGCTGCTTATAATATTTTAGTAATGTATTAATAAAGTACATATATTAATAATATATTAGTATATTAATTGTTAATAAAAACAAATACTCATATAAATATATAATACGTTTTAAATAATATTTTACATAGAACTATTGATATATTAAATAATATCATATTATTATAATACTTCATAATATAAATGTTTACATTTAAAAAAAAAAGAAAGATAACTATTTATAATAAAATATTTAATACATGTGATTTTTAAAGTTATTAATTAAAATATAAATTTATTTTATATATTTATTATTAAAATATTGTGATGAAAAGAGATGGCGTATATAATATGTTTATTTATTTATCAGAATACAGTTGTCAGTCCAGTTTGTAAACTAATTTGTGTATCAGCGTGGGTGTTTTGGGATGGGGTACTACAGAGATATGAATGAGAAGGCCTCGCATGCACAGCAGCTCTCGTCCCTCGGGCGGTCGGGTCTTAAAGTCAGAAAATCAAGCAAATGAATAATTCAGAGGAGACTTTTTACGGCGCCCCCCACCTTCCTCCAGTTTGAGAGTGGAATTTCTCTGCCTTGTTAAACTGTGAGGGCTGCACAGAGAAGGCCGTAAACTCGTGATAGAAAGGGTTTGTTTGGGACACGGACATCATTAGGAGGATTTGATGCCCAGATCTTCTGTCTGACACTTGTTTCACATGAACCCTTGGTAACAATCACTCGTGGGATCTGGAGCTTCTCTCTGCAGTTACAGAGCGCTTCAGGAGCTCGCTTTCAACTCTTCTGTCTCGTTTGTGTCTCATCTGTGTTTCTGTTGCTGTTGAAGAGTTCAGCGTCTCTCAGCTCATTTTAGCATGTTTTGGCCGTTACTTTAGCGCCGCTGTTTCCTGTGATGACGACATTCAGCGAATCACGAGCTGCTGGCACTTCTAGATCTGAACCGCTGTTTCTCTCCATTCTCTACATTTCACACTGGGGAAAAAATTATATATATATATACACATACAGATATAATAATATATATGAAATAACACATAATATTTTGTATATATTTCCTATTATCTATTATTATATTTGATTAATTATGGTATTTTTTAGTATTGAAATTAATTTATTAAAATATTAAAACATTATTATTATTACAAATCTTTCATGTTTTTCATGTTTATTTTTTTAACAGAATACAGTTGCCAATCAGGTTTGAATGTAAATACAGTAAATAGTTTTTTACTTAAAAACAGGTTTCACATAATTTACACAATTGACATTAAATAAATTAATTTAAAATATATATATATTTTAAATAATATATATTTATTATATGTAGTGTTTTCTTTATTTTTAAAAGTTACAATTAAAGTATAAATTTATTTGATGTATTTATTATTTATATATATATAATTATATATTATTTGTTATACATTTATTATTGTTGTCAGCCTGGTTTGGAGTGTAACTACAGTAAATACAGTTATATATTTGATATATTATTTATATATTTTTAATGATTTTCTAATTTGTTGTTGTTAAAGTGTACATTTATTTCTTGTATTAATTAATTACTACAATATGAAATAGTGATGATGTGATATAATTCATGCATAGCATATATAATACATTTTTTATATGTTTATTTTATATTTAATTTTTTTGTGTTATTTTATTTTATTTTTTTACTATAAACAGTTGTCAGTCCAGTTTGGATTGTAAACGTTTCTTTTTATGCAGTTTTGCTTATAAAAAAAGAGACAAACACATTGTAATCTTAAAGACAACTTGACATTTTTGCAAAACAAACTCATTCCGAGGGGAAGTGTTTCAAAATGTGAAATTGATGCCGTGACCAATTACACAATTTGGCACATTAGTTTGGTTGTTACTGGATTTTGTCCGGTCTGAATTTGTAGTTTATTGTTATGTAAACCCGCAGCTGCTGTGCTTCGACTATCATGCCGGTTTGTGTTTGAATTCTCCCGTTTATTGAATCCTGCGGAGGATGGGAGTGATGTTGGGCTGGAAATGAGGTGCTGGACAATGCGTGTGTGTGTGTGTGTGTGTGTGTGTGTGTCCGTGGGGATTTAATATCCAGCCGTTCAATAGGGATGTGGCACTGAATGCCAGAGAGCGAGATTGCTACCTGTGCGCTCGTGGCGACAACTCAATTTCCCCTTTTTGGCAGCTGAATGCAGCCAATCAAAGCAGCCGTGTCG